GTAGAAAGTTTTCCTACATTCTTCACATTCATATGGTTTCTCACCTGTGTGAGTTCTCTGATGTATTGTAAGGTGTGACTTACGGTAGAAAGTTTTCCTACATTCTTCACATTCATATGGTTTCTCATCTGTGTGAGTTCTGTGATGTATTGTAAGGTCTGACTCACAGGAGAAAGCCTTCCCACACTTTGTACAGTCATAAGGCTTCTCATCTGTGTGAGTTCTCTGATGTCTAATGAGGGATGATTTATGGTAGAAAGTTTTCCAACATTTTTTACATTCATAGAGTTTCTCACCAGTATGAGTTCTCTGATGCCTATTCAGGTGTGACTTCCGGTAAAAGGCTTTTTCACACATATTCCATTCATACGGCTTCTCATCTGTGTGAGTTTTCAGACATCTGCTGAGGTTTTGCTTCTGGTTGAAGTTTTTTCCACATTCATAATCTTCACAGAATTTTGCTTCTCTGTGGATTCTCTGATGCATATTTAGTTCTGTCTTTTGACGGAAGAATTTATCACATTCATTACACCTATAGGGGTCTTCCCCTGCACGTGTTCTCTGATGTTTTGTAACATATAATTTCCTAATGAAAGGTTCTCCTAAATCACTACATTCATAATATTTCTGTCCTTTGTGTTTTTTCTCATGGCTAAAGAGCTTAGCCTTTTTATATAGTGCTTTATGATAGACATTATATTCAATTGATTTCTCCCTTGCTTGGGTCATCTCTTGGGAAATAAATGCTAACTTATCAAAGTCTTTCCCGTATTCACTGAACTTACTGGAAGTCTCTCTCACATGAATCTTTTTATGTGTCAATACTGCTTTCATGTTGCAGGCATTCTCTTGTCCACAATACTGAAAATATTTCTGTATACCTTGAAATTTGTTATGCAGACTAAGGTGTTCAAGATGTCTGAAGGATTTCCCAGTCACATGAAGATCAACAGGCTCCTCTCCAGCCCGCACCTCAACATTCTGCCATATGTTAAGTTCCTCAGGTTTCACTCCTGAATAGTTTCCATTCTTTATATTCAGAACTGAAATATGGTTTGAATTCACATTAAATCGTTTTCCCAATTCAACCTTCTCATCAGCTGATGTGGTTACAACTTGCCAAAAATGTTTCTCTTGATTTTCCTGGTTTGTCTGAATAAGACCATTTACTTTCTGGACATCTAAAATGATATAAAAAAAATAGTAATCTCCATGAAATAAACATAAGTATTTCGTATGGAATTCAAACAAAGGTTAAAGAACTGCCATATCCTAATGATATAAGATTTCAAAGTAACAATTCATGGGTGTGGTTTTCATACCTAATGAATCCAAGAAATTATATTAAAAGGCTACAATGTCAAGTCATGTCATATTGCTTTTATTCCTTTGAAATAGAGAGAGATATATAGTGACAATATTCACCTAATGCCTAACTGGGTTTCCACAATGATTTTTACCTTCAATTTTTCTCTGTACTTTCTCCATACTTTTTTCTCAAAACAACTGTTTGTATACACATCACCCTACTTTTCTTCTCTTTCAGATTTGTAATCCAAAATTTTCTTGGATTAGCTACTTATAGGATTTAGTCTTGGTTGACTTCCCTCTTAGCAGAAATATAATTTAAGAAAAGGATTTATATCTATGTTTGTTTAGTTTTCACTTTTCCCTGAGTAAAAGTAAATTATCTTTTCTCTTACATGAGAAGACAAACTTCCTCCAAATCCCTAATCTAATTAAACTTACGATTCCCAGGACCATAACAGTCTCAGAAAGCCAAGTCTACCTCCCTGTTACACTGAATAATTTGGTTCTGAAGTTAAACTGTGCTTGCCATTGTTGCAATATATTTTTCTGAATATTTCTTGGACATACACCCAAGATTCTGGCACATGTATGCCTGCTTGGGAACTCCCTGCTTCAGATGGCATTTGTGTTTAAAATTCAATTCTCTTCTACTTGAATAGAAAATGGAGTTTTTTATGCAAATTTATTATGTCTCAGTGTCTTTCACAAAGAAAAGCATAAAAGCTAACTATGAATTTCATTCCTGAAGAGAAATTAGAGTCCTACAACATGAAATTGTTAGTTCACTTGTCCTTTTTTTTGTTTTGTTCTGGTACCAGGGATTGAACTGGGGACCTTGCACTTGCAAGGCAGGCAGCAGAACCACTGAGCTCCCTGGCCCCACTTGTCCTTTTTATCAAAGATCTTCTGGTTGTCCTACAAAGTCCAGCATCTCACTCTTTCCATGCACATATGCTAGGTACTCCTCACTTTCATAAATTCTGATGTTGTCATATACAGGGCTTGTTACTGGAATTCCTTTTAGGGGGGAAGACAGGGTACTTTCTAGTGCAAGCTTGCTTTGAGCTCTGTGTAGCCCAGGGTGGCCTCGAACTCTCAGTGATCCTCCTGCCTCAGCCTCCTGACTGCTGGGATTACAGGCATGCACCACCATGCCCAATACTGGAATTCCTTTCTTTTATTCTTACCAATTCCTTAATGACTGCCTGAATAACTAAGATTTAAATACTGGCAATACTGATTTCCCAATTTGTATCTCCTTTATACTCATGATGATTCTATGACTCTAGATTTTATATCCACCTTTGTATTATATACCATATTTAGAAAATGAACATCTGAAAATTAAAATGAATAGCCATCTTAAAAACGGCTTTTCCCTTTCCAGATTTGTCCAACCTGTGGCTCACTTCTCCCCATACCACAATTTTTAAGCAAAAGAAAATTGTCCTTGACCACAAAGTATGAAATATAGTTAATTCATTTATGTAACAACAGATCATTTTATGTAATGTTCATTATAACATTCTTTTAAAAAGCAGGCTATACATTAGACATCATTCCTAAAATAAAATGCCATATTCTATTTTTATCTCATCATCATACAATATTCTTCGTGGCTTTCATGTAACTACCAAACACTATATATTTGGTTCAATATTATCTTTCAATAACATGCACTTTATTAATCCTCACAATTAAAAAAGACTAGTGTTTATGAAGTAATCAAAAAGCAAATGGCTGGGCCAGGGATTTAGCTCAGTGGTTCTGCCCCCTGCCTTGCAAGCACAAGGTCCCAAGTTCAATCCCCGGCACCAAAAGTAAAACAAAACAAAACCAAAAAACGAAAAAAAAGCAAATGGCTGAGGGGAGAAAAATGAACATGGAAAATCCAAGAATTTAGAGAAAAGATCTACCTAAGAAAAAGGTGTAATATCCATATAACTATTAGTTTTTTGGTAAATCTAACAAAATATACATGAACAACAAAAAAAGAAGATGGATTTATATGTGAGAGCCCTCCTTCTAAGCTATGGAAAGCAAGTCTACAAAGAATGAGACCAGCTGTTGGTACATGAGGAAAAATAGTGAAAACAGCTCTTCGTGGCTCATATCTGATGAGCGCTCATCATCCTGATCTCCCTGCCCAGTATACATCAACTGACCTGGGAAGCTCTGGCTTGGGGCTTCTTCTACCATGCATGGCCCAGATCCTTGCTCCAACTTGAAGATCACAGCAGGTTTGCTACTGCAGTGTCCTGTGAATGGTGAATTAATGTGAGATTTGTGCCAAACTATGTGACAACCTCAGCAGAAAGACAACATCCACCTCAAGAAAATGTGACCAGAGAGTGTTGTGGCAATATCATGAAGTAGCAGTCACAGATATCTCTGAGATACCACCAAGGTCAGTCAGTTCACATCTACATGACAGCTTCCACTGCATAGTGAACAGATGAAATATGTACAGGAAAAGAGAAAGAATAAGCAGCAAAGCAGTCTCCAATCTGGGCACTCTATCACCCTGTGAATTACACAAAACTTTTGAGGGAAGAGCCAAAGGGATGGCAGCAGCTGTGGCAAACTGAACTCCCTAGATGCCGCTGTCCTCAGAGCCAGCCAAGTTATGTGACTCCCCAATGGGGACATGGCCCAAAGTCTGTTGTGAGAATAAGAAAGGGCACTCCTGGCTAGGGACTCAGCTCCCAGCACATGGCCAGAAACCAAGCATCTCTGAAACACACAAAGTCACTCTGAGGAAGAACCCAAGAGGCTGGTCACAGCTGGCCACTCAACTATGTAGTCTCTCCACTAGCAAACAGCCCAGAATCTGTGATAAGAATAGTAAAGTGCTTCTCAACTGATGGGCTGTTTCCAAAGCAGGTCCAACCACCATTCTTAGTGGACTGAGGACTAGAAGCACTAAACAATGAAGCCCATTTTGCCTAGAGCTTCTGCTTCATTGGCACTGGGCATAGGGAGAAACAAATGACAAAGAACTCAGATCTGGGGCAGCTGGGACACAAAGCCAATGGAGGTGGACAGAAACAATCTAGCTGAAAAAAACCTCCTTAACTCTGGACACCAGTGAAATCACAGAGACAGAGAGACAAGGATGGGATGGAAATCCTGCAAGGTTATGGTTGGCTGAGAACTGTGGCTGAGACTCACTTGGGGGAGCAGGGGAAATCCCCTACCACTGACCCTGAGAATACTGGGCCCTGATCACAGCAGACTAAATACAGCAGCAGAAAAAATGGCAGAGGGATGCTCATCCCAATCAACAAAACAGGACAAATGTCCTTTTACTCTCTCCCTCTTTTATGTTTTGCCTTTTTATTCATTAACAGTAGTTCGTGTGAAAGTGGCTAATCTTTATATAGGTATATGTAAGTATGGCTGTTATTGGTTTTCCACTTTAACTCCATAGTACTCCACTTTGTTTTGTCATATTATCCCATGTAAACAATTCCTCATTAGGAATATATAAATTTCTTTTACTGTTAATGAATTTGATACAAATCACTTTCTCCTGTCTCACAGTTCTTTTTTCCCTTCCTTCCTCTACTCCTTCCTACCCTCCACATACCAGGTTCTATCTAGTCTCCTTTCTCTTTTTTGGGGGGGGTATAATTTTTATTCTCTACTTTTTGTCCCCCCATATTTCTTCTCCTTTACCTATGCACTCTTTGAAACACTCTATCATCAATACTTAATTTGATCTACCCACTATAATGTATTACTACACTGTGTCTCATCCTGTGTTACTATAATACTGAAGACTTTGTCAAGTTCTTAAGCATTAGATAAACTATGGTTAGCTTCCCAAGTGTTTATGTTATTGATAGTTACTCTCTATTTGCAAAGCAGTTCTAGGGGCTGGACCTAGCATACAGAAAAGACTGAGTACAAAGAGATGTACCCACAATGCAAACACACAACAAAGAGAAAAACACTTACAAAAATGAACCTCACACAAGAGTGGAGAGACAGTCTAACTGTTCTACAAACCTCAATAAAGCACAATTAAAATGAAAAAACAAGGCAACGTGCCTCCAAACATATAGTACATAAATTCCAGCCAGGCATGGTGGCACACACCTGTAAGCCCAGTACTTGGGAGGCTGGAGCAGGAGGATCACCATAAATTTGAGCCCAGCCTGGATGACATAGTGAGATCCTGTCTCAGTCAATCCCAAAAAGATGATCCCACAGATAACGAAGTGGATCAAATTAGAGAAAACAATTTCAAAAACTGATAGTTAAAATGATAAGAGATCAAAGAAAAGACAAACAGGAAGATGTATCAATTATCAGAATGATGAATGAGTTCAAATAAGTTACAAATAATCAGCTAATTGAATTAAAGAAGATAGCAAGATGTGAAAGATGGTATCAGTAAAGCAACAGAAAATAATTATGGATAGAAGACAGGAAATCAGGAGGTAGACTTCTAGAGATAAGGAAGAGGACAAGCTGGAAGAGGGAAAGGCAGAGGGTAGTAATGAGGCTGAAATTAGGACTTCCCAAAATAACCCCCTTTATTATTTACTGTTAACATGCACTTAAAAAAATATTCTAAATACAAGATAGCACATCATTTATAGGAATTATAAAACGTCTAAGTGATGAAGAGAAAATATAATTCTTAATTATAAATAATTCTTTATATATGAAAAAAAATCTAGGGTTCTACATCTGGACTTTGCATGAAACACCTTAATACTTAGCTGAGAGTCCCAAAGTTAAAATAGTTGGCCATTTATTGAAAAATAGTCTTGAATTACTCTTGGTGTATCTGCTGTTTTGATCAATGCTATGTCCCAGGATAGGTCTGTTCCCTTTATGCAGACAACTGTTGAACAGGGGGAGGGGGAGGCTCCGACTGGTTGTTCATTCTGCAGCCCGTGAAGCTCTTGTTAGAAACAATGTTTTCAAGAGAAAAAATAGAGGACAGAGGAAAAATGACTAAACAGAGGTATTCATGGAACAAGAAGAAAAAGGACAGTAATAAAACAAAATGGCTTAAAATAATCACTGGGTTTATAGTATCTCATAAAGGTAATGTAACCAGTATTTTCATGCATATGGGTTTTTTCCTACTTGTATTCATACACTGTGCTGAAGCATGGGTTTGTGAAAAAAAATCATTAAAGTTTTAAGGACACACACCACATAGGTGGAAGTTAATTGGATGTATTGTCAGTATGTGTGTGTATGGGGGCGGGGGGTTATCCTTTTGTCTAATTGGTCATTGCCCACTAGAAGGGTTATCCAATCAGAGCTGTCTTACTAAGAAAGGTTCTTTCTTATACAATCAGAACAAGTCTTCTCAAAACCTCATTTGAATGCAGAGTCTGTAAGTAAGCTACTTGTGTTTGCACCTTCCAATTTTTCATTTCTCTCCTTTTCTACAGGCCTTTAGAGTTTCTTCTGAAAAATCTGTAGTTATTTTGATTGCTTAGCTATTTTTAGTGAGTTGGAGTGTCTGTGTTGCAGCTCTCAATCTTTATTACTTATTCTGCACTCTTCCACTCAACTGTAACATGATAGGGGAAAGTTCTTTTTCCATCATATCTGTTTGGGGTTCTAGGTGCCTCCTGTTCCTGGATGTCCATATCTTTCTCAACATTTGAGAAATTTTCCATTATTTCACTGAACCGATCTTCTGTACCTTTATTCCATACCTTGGTACCCACTTATAAACTGAAAATTTGGTGTGGTCTTTTCACTATGTCCAAGATTGTTCATAATTTTGGTTTTTTTCAATTACACTCTGAATGTAGTAATTCATCAAGTGTGTCTTTAAGCCCTAAAATTCTGCTTCTGCTTCATTCTGCTTCTGCTTCATTCTGCTTGGTGGTACTTTCCACTGAATTGGGTTTTTAATTGAGCTTTTCATTTTCAAGGTATATTCATTTTCAGAATCTCTTTTCTTTATTTTCTCTTTCATATCCTGCATTGTCTTCCTTAAATCATTCAGGTATTTATTTGCATAATTTTGAAATTTCTGGCCATTTTTTAAAAGGAAATCTTTTGAATTCTTTAGCATTTCATGCATTTTGATATCATTAGATTCCATTACTGAGGAGTTACAAACCTTTAGAAGAGCCATTTTGCGTTTTACAATTTTTCTTGTTTATATGTGGCAATTTGCACATCTGTTGAGATGAGTATCCCTTCCACTTTTAATGTGAGGGTGGTAAGAAGCCCTTTTTTTTTTTTTTTGGTACCAGGGATCGAACTCAGGTCCTTGAGCTTGTGCAGCAGGTGGTGAAGCCAATGATCTAAATCCCCAGCCCCAAAGCCATTTTTTGAGGCCTCAATCCCTCATACTTCTTGAGAGAATAATAGGTAGTAACACAATAACACAACACCTACCCAGGCACAAATCTATAGCCTCAGCTATTCAGGAGGCTGACATAGATAATTCCAAGTCTGAGGCCTGCCTGGGCAGCTTAATGAGACCCTGTCACAAAATAAAAAATACAATGATCTGAGAATATAGCCAAGTGAAGAGGCCTTGATTCAACTCCAAGTACTGCCAAAATAAAAATATACACACAGCCCCACACATGAACATCAAAACACAACTATATCACCATAATGTAACATAAAACTGGCAAAGATACTATAAGCTTAAAGAAAGTTAATAAAGGTAAAAAGTAATAATAAAATATAATAAAAATGGAAAGAGCAGTGAAAGGGATAACAAAGCAAGATTTTAAAACAGGTGAAAAGAGCAAGAGATTAGAAAAGTTCAAGAATAAAAATAATGTAAATAAACAGATACAAGAGAAAGAAACAAAAAGAAAAAAAATTAGTTGTAAATACTCCTTGGCCAATGGTTTAGGTTGGTAAAGTTTCCTCCCAGGACCTCTAATACAGTTGGTATGGAGGAAGGTAGTGAGCTGCAATTGGGCCTTTTGTATTTCCTCTCCACTCACACCTAAGAAGGTGGCACTGTATGAATGAGGCACATCAAAGATACACTGTCCATCTCAAAATTGTATTCACTCTATGGCTTTTTACTGTTTCCTTCTGCACACCCAGAGCCACTGCTAGCCCAAACCAGCTTTGTAGCATGTGGACCAGTCAGGTCCCCTATTTACTCCAGAGGGCCCAAATCTGGGTCCATGCACCCAGAGGCCAACAATCAATAAATGGAAAAGTCTATTCACACAGGGAGAAAATATTTCCAAATTATTTATCAAACAAGAGATTAACATTCTGAATATATAAGAAATTCAACTCAATGGAAAAAAAATTCAATTAAAAACCACAAGCTGGATATGGAGGCACACGTGTAATCCCAGCTGCTAGGGAGCTTCACTGAGGCTGGAGAATCAAAGTTCAAGGACAGTCTTAGACAACTATCTCAAAAATAAGGGCTGAGGGTGTAGCTCACTGACAGAGTGCTTGCTTATCATGTACAATGTCCTGGGTTCAACCACCAGTACCACCCAAACACAAAAGAAACAAAAAACCTGGGCAAATAACCTAAATATTTCTCAAAAGAGGACATATAAATAGCCTAGAATTATATAAGCAAATGCTTAATGTCCTTAATCATTGGGGAAATTAAACTCATGAGATACCACTGCACTGCAGTTAGGGTGGTTATCATCAAAATGAAAAATAACAAATGCTGGCAAGGTTGCAGAGAAAAGGAAACTCTCCTACACTACTGGTGGATATGTAAAGTATACAGCCACTATAAAATACAGGATAAAGGAAACAGAACTACCATATGATACAGCTATCCCATATATATTCACTCAAAGGAAATTAGCCCTGTGTTTTAAAGAGAAATCTGCACTTTCACATTTACTGCAGCACTATTCACAAAGCTATGCTGCAGAATCAACCTAGGTGTCCATCAACAGATAAATGGATAAAGAAAATGTGGTATGTATATCCATGGAAATATTATTCAACCATCAAAAAAATGAGCAAAATTCTTTCATTTGCAGCAACATGGATGGAACTAGAAGATATTGTGGTAAGTGAAATAAGTGTCAAGTACAGAAAAACAAATGCTGCATATTGTCACTTATATGTGCAAGCTAAATTGGATCTCAGAGAAACAAAGCAGTGGTTAGTGGCTCATGGAAACGTGGGCAGAGGGCAGGATGGAGAGAAGAGGCATACAGGGGTGCAATTGGATAGGAACAAGAACTTCTAATGTTCATAGCATAACTATGGTTAGCAATAATTACCTGACTATTTCAAAAACCTAGTAGACATAATTTTAATGTTCCCAATACAAACCAGAGATATATAAGTGAGGTAAAATACTTGTCAATTATCCTGATTTAATCAATATAGGTTATATTCATGTATTGAAACACAGGCTCAACCCTATAAATGTGCAAATGGTACATAACGGCTAAAAATACATAAAAGTAGCACTAAAACTCAGAAACGGTTCCTGCATTTACTAACCAAAAAGAACAAAACTGCTACCAGAGTTGTTGGGGTAGGGGGTTTCACTCACCCAAGGCCACCAGATTATTGTAGGTCTCTAGCATCACTTCTCTGTAGAGGTTCCTCTGGGCATCACTGAGATCCTTCCACTCCTCCCATGTGAAGTCCACAGACACATCCTCAAATGACACCAGCCCCTGTAAGTGGACATTTCTCATCAACCCAAATCTTCAGCATTGGGCCAGAACAGGAATGTGGGGATTCCCTCTTCTGTGTGAAAGTGTGTCTTACATGTGTTTTTCATAAGATGCAGCTTGATTTGTACTTCACCTTATAGGAGGAAAAAATCAGAAATACCTTGCCTCTATGCTAATTTAGTCTTCAAAAATAATCCCAGCACCCTGGGAGGCTGAGGCAGGAAGATTCCAGGTTGGAGCCTCGCCTGGGCAACTTAGTGACTTAGCAAGACCCCTCTAGAAATAAATTTTGAAAAAGAGCTGTAGATATAGCTCAGTGCAATGGCCCTGGGTTGAATCCCCAGAACCCAACCCCCTTCCCAAAACCAATCGAACAACAAAAGAAATGATTGCACAATTTTTTTTATAGATTTTGTTTTGTTTTGAGACAAGGTCACTCTATGTAGTTCAAGCTGGCCTTGAGCTTATTACATAGCTCTGGGTGGCCCTAAACTCATGGCAATTCTCCTGCCTCAGCCTCCTGAGTGCTGGAATTACAGGAGTGTGCCACCACACCTAGCTCTCCTTTATAGATTTAGAACTGTCCTTGTTTCCAGCAAGAATGAGATGAATAAACTTCTGCTCCTAAAAAGAGCTAACAATCTAGTGTAAAGACTTAAGTTTAAACACATATTGGAAATAATGAGTTCAATAACCTACAGAATCTGTTCAATGTAGAAAAGAGTACTAATGAGGCAGAAAATAAGATAGCTTTGTGTTACCAGGTTGTGCATCACCAAAATGACAGGCTCAGATCTTCTACATATTATAGTCATGGCCATACTTCTTTTTCCTTTCGAAATCTAAAACAATCACTAGTATCCATATAGAAGTCAACATCAGGGCCAGGGATTTAGCCCAGTGGCACCGCGCCTGCCTCGCAAGCACAAAGTCCTGCATTCACTACCCAGTATGGGGGAAACAAATCACCAACTAGAAATGAACATCACCTACTTCCTAAGACAGAAAGTAAATAATGAGGGGCCAACAAAAAGTAGTAAGTTACTTGAACAGATACACATTCTGCAAGTCAACTCATAAGAGGAGAATGGTAAAGGACTTAGAGTCTTTTAAAGGAGAAAAAAACAGAGTCACACATTACTGCTTACATTAGGAGATACAGCATTAAGAATATAGAACAGGGAACTCTCTATTTCTCTTTTTCTAGAAAAAGAGAAAAAAGAAAAGAAAAAGCAGGACTACAACTTAATACTAATTGGTTGTGCCTAGGTTGAAAATGAGAGTCTTCCTCCAAATTGTTTGCATGGCCAGCAATGTACAAACTTGTCCTACAATCTAAAATTGGGAGAAAGAATGAATACAATGGGAAAAAGTTAGATTGATCTTAAACTATGTTTGAAATGTCCGTGACCAAGTATGCAGGGAAACCCAACACTAGAATATAGGATCTAGAGCTCAGCAGGAAGATTTAAGGTGAAGATTCACAAGTAGCAGTACCTCCATGGTTGCTGGAACCATGCCAGTGAGAGAACTAGCTCAAAGAGAACCTGAGAGATTGAAAGAACACAAACAAGTATGGAATGTGACAAAACAATTATATTCAGAGTTTGATGAACACAAACAGATCATGAAAACAGATGAAGACTTTGAAAATATTAATTCTAGGAATAAAGAAAAGTTCAGGGCCGGGGATTTAGCTCAGTGGCTCCAGCACCTGCCTTGCAAACACAAGGTCCCAAGTTTATCCCTGGGAACAAAAATTTAAAACAGTTCAATATTAAGAAATTAATGCACTTCATTGTATTCACAGAGCTATGAAAAAGTACTATAATTATGCACATAAGTATGAAGAAGGTTTTTTTTTAATAACACTACCCATTTGTAATAAAGGCCCTCAATACAAGAGAATTCAGGGCATCCTTAACATGATAAAATGTATCTCTCTTAGCCCAAACACAGCATAGCAGTTAAAGAGGAAACAGGGAGGTATGAAAGATCCCGTGGACAGAGGTATTAGTCAATCCAAATGAAAAGAAAAAAATGAGAGATTATGATTTGCATGTAGTTATACCTATAGAACATAAGAGAATCTCAGAACTACTCCAAATAAGAATTCAGTAAGTTAACAAGCTATAAAAATAACTATATGTATATGCATACACACATATGTGTATGTATATACACATGTGTGTATGCATATACACACATACAGATACATGCATACATATATATATATACATATATACATACATATATCCTGTGTATGGCTCCTCATATATATGAGAACATTCACGTAATAACAAAAACACCAGTGCCAGGGATTTGGCTCAGTGGCACTGTGCCTGTCTCACAAGTGCAACGTCCTGAGTTCGATCCCCAGTACCAAAAAATACCAAAACGAATATCTGGAAATACATTTAACAACAAAAATATCTTATGTATATGAAGGGAGAAAGAAGTGAAGGATGCAAAAAAGAATAAGCAAATAAAAAGACTACAATATTCAGGACAGTAAAATTTTCCATCATAACAACATTGTCAGTAAACTAATTAATATAATGTTCATGGAAGAATCACATTTTTAGACATACACAAGCTGATTTTGAAGTTATAATGAAAAATTGATCCAGCTCCTTCCCTGTGTTAATGAGCTTGGACTGCCATAATAAATGCCATAGACTGAATGGCTTAAACAAAAATTTTCTCAAAATTCTGCAGGCTGGAAAGTCCAAGATCAAGGTGCCAGCCTATTGAGATCCCAGGAGTGATGAGGTCTCTCTTCCTGGCTTAACAATGGCAACCTTCTTGATGTCTCTTTGAATAATGAATAGAAAAGAAATGCCTTCCTCTTCTTTTATCACCATCAATTCTGTGAGACAAGGGACCAACACTTATGCCTCATTCAACCATAATTACCTTCTATTAAGTCCCATCTCCAAATACAGTCACATTAGGCTGCAGGGATTTAAAGTCTTTGGGGACACAATTCACCCACAGCATTAATTGTGTTGCTCTTCACTGATGAAATACTCCCTTGCAGTGAAACTCAAACTTGTAATCCCTCATTTGCCTATGTGACCAAGAGCATTTGAATGGAAGTACTAGGTGTTCTTCTAAGCAGTAGTTATAGGAGTCATACACAGGCCATCATGTTCTCCTTATTCCATGAGGAATATAAAAAATTAATCCTCCTTCTGGGGCTCTGTACCAGAAAGCAGCAAACCCTCACCTGATCCTTCATGGAGAGGAAATATAAGTCTAAAAGAAACATGTGCTTTTAATCTACTTGTAAACTTAATCAGCACCATTAGACAACAAAACAAACTTCACTGGCACCATCGCTAGCAATGATAACTATTACTGCAAAAATGATCTATGTTATCTTAAATACTAAAGGACTAAAATAGTATAAATTCTAAAGAGCTGAAATAGTTATCAAGTGACTAAATGCCTATTAACAATGTTACCTAAATTAATTGTTACTTAGGCAATTATTTAGGATAATGAGGTAACTCTTATGTCCTATTTTTACATCCCTGTAGGTTCACAGCTTAAGGAAAATAGAATGAAAAACAAAATGACCATAGTACATTTCAGTTATTGTAAAGTTCAGAAAACAAAAACAGGATGCAGGCAGGAATAAAAAAGAATACGGAGCTACTAGAAATTTGATGACATATAAGACTGCAAAACTTGAAAAGCAATTGTCATCTTTCGCTATTGAAAACGTTTAAAGTTGTTCTCACAGAATATACAATAAAAATGCATTTAAAAAGAAAAATAAATCCCTCCATGACAAGTAACAATCTTATGACAACATTAAGGCCTGTGAATTGTTTAAGGTTATCTCAGCAAATTACTTAAGTTGCTTACAATGCACGAGAGAGAAGACTACAAAAGTCTCCCAAGAAAAATTTAAGATGCAAAAAAATACATAAACATGGAAAAAAACTATAAAGACAAGCCTCAAAAAATGTAGAGGTAAGGGCCGGGGATTTAGCTCAGTGGTTTCGCCGCCTGTTGTGCAAGTGCAAGAACCCAAGTTCGATCCCCGGTACTAAAAAAAAAAAAATTTAGAGGTAAGTAGAATGATAAAGATATAAATTTAGTTGGATGTGGTAGCATACACCTGTAATCCCAGCACTATGGCAAGCTGAGACAGGAGAATTTCAAGTTTGAGCCCAGCCTGGGCATCTAAGCAATATGGCAAGATAATCTCAAAATAAAAATTAAAAAGGAGCTGGAGATGTAGTAGCTCAGTGCAAAGCCATTAGGTTCCATCCCAGTACCAAAGCCAAACTTATGTATACTTTTGAGTGTTATACCATCATAAAATAATCCACCTTAAGAAAAACTACAGGTTCATTAATATTATAAGCTTCAAAGCTATGAACAATAAGCATGCCTAAAATGGTCTCTAGCACTTTAGAATACATCTTGAAGTACATTCATCCGGCAAAACCAAATTTGTCAAATTTATTTTCTTATCTACTGAGATGGCTGTGTTTCTAATTGTTGCACTGACATGGTGATTTTTGGTTGCCAATCCACCTTGTATTACTAGAATGAATCCAACTTGGTGACAGAGTATGATTACTTTTATATGCTACTAAATTCTGTTTCTTTGTATTTTTGAAGTATTTTTTATGTGTATGTTTAAGATACACTGGTCTAAAATTTTATTTCCTTGTGATATCTTTGAATCTTTGCACAGTTTTTGGTATCACTGTAATAATACTGCTTCATAAAATTGTCTCTACCATTTCTATTTTTGGGACAACTAGGGATGATCTGATTTAAATCTCCAAATGTTTGGTAGAATTGGCCAGGGAGTTTTATGAACACAAGATTTTGTTTGTGTTACTAACAAAAATCAACTACACACCACCTCCTCACTTGAGGGCTATTCAGATTATTTTTTCAGTCAGTTGTAGTCAAATTTCTAGAAATTTGCCCATTTTATTATGTGAATTATGTAATGTATTGGCATATAATTGTAT